CTGGCTAATGGATTCAGGAGCAACATGGCATATGACTCATAATCGAGATTGGTTCCATACATATAAATCTATCTCTGGAGGCAAAGTGTTCATGGGTGATAATCATGCTTTAGAGATTGTTGGCATTGGCACCATCAAATTGAAGATGTATGATGGCTTAATTCGTACTATTTCAGAAGTGCGACATGTGAAAGACTTAAAGAAGAATCTTTTGTCCATAGGATAATTTGATAGTCTTGGCTGTAAGATCCGAACAGAAAATGGAATCATGAAAATCATCAAAGGAGCGCTGGTGGTTTTAAAGGCAAGAAAGACAGTTGCAAATGTATTTGCATTAATGGGAGAAACACATCATGAGGCAGAAGCGTCAATCGCATCAGCCAGTCCTGCAGAAGAGAAGACGATGATGTGGCATCAAAAACTAGGTCACATGTCAGAAAAAAGGTTTAAACGTTCTCTCTAATTAGAAGTTACTCCCTGGGCTTACAAAGGTTACTTTACCTTTTTGTGAGCATTGTGTTACAAGTAAACAACACAGGTTGAAGTTTGGCACATCTACAACTAAGAGCAAATGCATCTTAGACCTGATTCACTCTGATGTTTGGCAAGCACCGGTTGTATCCTTGGGAGGAGCAAGATACTTTGTATCATTCATAGATGACTTCTCCAGGAGATGTTGGGTGTATCTAATTAGAAGGAAGGCAGATGTGCTTATAGTCTTTAAAACTTTCAAAGCGCGGGTGGAACTTCAATCTGAAAAGAAGATCAAGTGTTTGAGGACTGACAATGGAGGAGAACATACCAGTGATGAATTTGATAACTTCTGTCAACATGAAGGTATCAAAAGGCAGTTCACAACGGTATACACTCCACAACAAAATGGAGTGGCAGAGCAGATGAACAGAACTTTGTTAGAAAGAACAAGAGCAATGTTGAAGACTGCAGGTCTAGGAAAGTCATTCTGGGCAGAAGCAGTCAATACCGCCTGTTATGTGATAAATCGATCTCCATTAACCGTAATTGAGCTAAAGACACCGATGGAGATGTGGACTGGAAAACTAGCTGATTATTCTCGATTGCATATATTTGGAAGTCCTGTGTACGTGATATACAATACACAAGAAGTTAGCAAGCTGGATTCAAAATCCAAAAAATGTGTATTCTTGGGATATGCTGATGGAGTGAAGGGGTATCGCTTGTGGGATCCCACTGCCCATAAGGTAGTTATCAGCAAATATGTCATATTTGCAGAAGGTAAAATGCAAATAGAAGAGCATAATAGCATTCTAAAAGAGACTACAACAGTCCATGTGGAAAATACTCAAAATCATGCTTCTTCTGAAGTTGTACCAGAGCATGAAGAGGAAGAACAAATAGAGTCTAAAACTCCTGAAGTTCGGTTGTCGACTCGTGAAAGAAGACCACCGACTTGACACTCAGAATATATTACTGAAAGTAACATTGCATATTGTCTTCTAACAGAGAATGGAGAGCCATCAACTTTCCATGAGGCTATTAAAAGCACAGATGTGTCTGTGTGGATGACATCAATGCAAGAGGAGATTGAAGCTCTGCATAAGAATAATACTTGAGATCTTGTTCCGCTACCACAAGAAAGAAAAGCCATTGGCAACAAATGGGTTTACAAGATAAAGCATGATGGCAATGATCAAGTGGAGCGGTATCGTGCAAGATTGGTGGTGAAAGAATATACTCAGAAAGAAGGAATAGACTTCAATGAGATATTTTCTCCGGTGGTACGACTTACGACAATCAGAGTAGTCTTGGCAATGTGTGCTATATTTGATCTTCACTTGGAGCAGTTAGACGTGAAAACTGCATTTCTTCATGGAGAACTTGAAGAAGAAATTTATATGCTCCAACCAGAGGGTTTTGCTAAAACAGGCAAGGAGAACTTGGTTTGCAGGTTGAACAAATCTCTATACAGTCTCAAACAGGCGCCGAGGTGTTGGTATAAGAGATTTGATTTCTTCATAATTAGCCTTGGGTACAACAGACTCAGTTTAGACCATTGTATGTATTACAAGACGTTTGAAGAAGATTTCATCATTTTGTTGTTGTATGTGGATAACATGTTGGCGATAGGCCCCAACAAAGATCGAGTCCAAGAATTGAAGGCACAGTTGGCTAGGGAGTTTGATATGAAGGACTTGGGACCAGCAAACAAGATTCTAGGGATGCAAATTTGCCAAGACAGAAGTAAGAGAAAGATTTGGCTTTCTCAGAAGAATTATTTGAAGAAAATCTTGCGACGCTTCAACATGCAAGATTGTAAGCCAATTTCCACCCCACTTCCTATTAACTTCAAATTATCCTCAAGTATGTCTCCTAGCAATGAAGCAGAGAGGATGGAGATGTCTCGAGTACCGTATGCATCAGCAGTGGGAAGTTTAATGTTTGCCATGATATGTACAAGACCGGACATTGCACAAGCAGTGGGAGTAGTTAGTCGATACATGGAAAATCCTGGTAGAGAGCATTGGAATACTATTAAGAGGATCTTGAGATACATTAAGGGTACCTCAGATGTTGCATTATGTTATGGAGGATCAGAATTTACTATCAGAGGTTATGTTGATTCAGATTTTGCTGATGACCTTGAGAAAAGGAAGTCCACTACAGACTATGTGTTCATAATTGCAAGAGGAGCTGTGAGCTGGGTTTCTAAACTTCAGACTGTTGTAGCATTGTCCACAACAGAAGCTGAGTACATGGCAGCTACACAAGCTTGTAAAGAAGCAATATGGATGAAGAAACTTATGGAAGAGCTCGGGCACAAACAAGAGAATATTCTTTTGTATTGTGATAATCAAAGTGCCTTGCATATTGCAAGGAATCCAGCGTTTCATTCAAGAACAAAACACATAGATGTTCAATATCACTTTGTTCGCGAAGTGGTGGAAGATGGAAGTGTGGATTTTCAGAAGATTCACACAAAAGAAAACCCAACAGATGCTTTGACGAAACCAATTAACACTGATAAGTATATATGGTGCAGATCCTCTTATGGCCTAGCAGAAACGTAAGCAACATGAAGATGGCAAGTATAGAAAGGATAGAAGAAGCACAAATGATCAAGTGTGAAGACTTGATTAAATCATCAAAGTCTTCAAGTGGGAGAATGTGAAGCCAACCACCTTAGTCAAAAATGGTGGGAGAAGGTTTAGTCATCCTTTTACACCTTAGTCAAAAATGGTAGGAGAAGGTGTAGCCATCTTAGTCAAAAATTGTATGCACCAAATTGATGCTATTTGCCTAACCCCTTGTCTTTTGCATGGATGCTTGCCTATAAATAGGCAATGCATCCAAGCATTATAAACACACCACAAGAGAGAAAGAAGAGAGGGTGAGGAGAGAGTAATCCCACAAAATTATGAGGTATTTATGAGATAGTAAGTGAGGTGTTTTCTCCTAATAATAGAGAGATTTTTGTAGTTCTCCTATTATTAGAGAGAAGTTGTATTCCCACATTACTTAGTAAAATCCTTCTATAGTTGCCCGTGGACGTAGCCAAATTGAGTGAACCACGTAAATTCTTTTGTGTCATTTCTTATTTTATCTTGTTCCTTACCTTTTATCTTGTCGGGTTTGCATGCCAGCATCCTAACATGCAGGAACCCAACTGGAGAACTTCTGCTGGGAAAAACAGAACAAGTGCTTTCTCCGTCACAGTCTGTGCATTTATAGTGTTTTTGTTCGTGTATGAACAGAACAAGACTCCATGTTGATGATAGGCATGTAGAAACCAGCCTGATCTTGTTTTTTATTTCAGATTCCAACAATTTTCGATCAGGCTTATGATGGAGAAGGACGGAGGATACTGTTTCATTTGGTACAGTTGTTAAGATTTTGTATGCTGTAATTGTTTATTTCTTTATCATCCTTTGCCACAACTATTATATAAGAAGCTGAATCCATGAATTAGAGTAAACTCTAGGCATAGTCCTGATGTCCTATCTGGTTCGGATTTTATTTAGATGCATACTATTGGACTAATCAAACTTAGATGAATATATCCACAGATTTCTGTGTTGGAGAAAGTTGTCACAAGAATGAATTTCAGAGATCTCAGCAAAGCAACAGAAAATTTTAGCCAAAGCACCATCATTGGGATGAGACTAATGGGAACCATGTACAAGGCTACCCTTCCTCATGGTTGGTTCGTTGCGGAGAAGAGAATGCACGATTCTGGACACATTGAGGAACATATGGTATCAGAATTGTAAACATTGGGCAGATTGGGACATAATAACTTGCTGCCACTGCCAGGATTCAGCATAGAATCCAAGGAAAGGCTTCTGGTGTACGAGTTGTTGGGAAAATTCGGAACAACCGGACACCAATTTACCCGGATCAATTCAGCGGAATACAATTACAATTCACAAGTCCCAATTCTTTCCCTCTTTGTGCAGTAAAACAGAATCAAACAATGATGAAAAATAATGCAAATAATCACAAAATCAACACCAAGATTTTTAACGTGGAAAACCCGATGCGGGAAAAACCACGGGACCGTAGTCCACCTAAAAACTTCCACTATCAACAAATAATGGGTTCACAATCATTCTTCCTCAGATTCAACTAAGGGATACAACATATATATCATCAAGAACAACTTATTCTCGGATTACAACAAGATTAAAGGAGAATTATTTGAGAAAAACTCACAAAACTGACAGCCCCGTTTTCTGTCAAAACGGCCAGCTTCCACACCACCAATCTTCGATCCAACCGTTCAGAATGAACATCAACGTGTCTAGAAGCTGCTGTCAAAATCTCAGCCCGATCCAACGGTGAACGAGCTGGAAATCGAAGAAGGAATGAAGGCTGCTCTGCTGCCTTTTCTTCTCTTTTTCTCTCTTGATTTTCTTCTCCTCTCTTCTCTTTTCAAATCTGTTGCTACAGTACCCGAACCACACTAATATTAACACCAAGAGACAGCCATCACATGACATTTAATGTGATGGTCCCACCATCACATGGTGTGGGACCATACACAACACGAGTATATATCAAATGGAAACCTTTTCGATAGGCTGCATTCTGTGGAAGCCCAGAAGAAGATTCTGGAATGGCCTTTGAGGGTGAAAATAGCAGTTGGTGTAGCAAGAGGCCTGGCATGGCTCCACCATGGCTACAATGCCCGCGTGGCGCATCTCAACATAAATTCAAGGAGTATTTTACTTGATAGGAATTTTGAACCCAAGTTATCAAATTTCGGAGAAGCGATGCTCAGGATTTCGACTAAGAGTTCCCGAGTGAATAGTGATTTTTGGGAGATGGCCTTTGTTAAGGAAGATGTGCATGGATATAGAGTTAGTGAAAGCGAATAGTGAAAGTTGTGCGTGCCTGACCAGCCTGCTGTTGAATATTCATCTTCTAGCAACATTTTCAGGTTATGTTTTCAGGCCTCTGTGGATCCACAACTTCTGAAATCTGAACTCAAAATGTTTTATGTGGCATGGCTGTAAATTGCATTCTGTTTTCAAGTCCATGGGCTGATATTACTATGATCAGGCCATTTGTTTTCGGCCCCACTGGCCATGTATGTACCCAAAAAGCAAGAGGCCTATGCCTGTTAAACTTACAGCCCACCGGCCATTTGCTGATCTTTCCTCGTTCATTTGTGTTTATGTATTAAGAATCTTAATTATGGTTATGTAATAAATGAATGCTTTGGTGATGTAATTAACTAGTCTTTGGAAATTTAGCATCACAATTCACATGTAAGTGGATACGCTCCCTTTGTCGATGCGATTTCAATTCCTATGTAAGCATTAATTTGGATTTAGTTAACCCAGAAGGATTTTAATGAAAATTTGTTAGAAAATATTAATTATAACGTTATTAAATTTTATTTTTCATAATCAGAGTTACTACCCAGCCCAACCGTCCAGCAAGAATTGAAATATACAGTAGTCGAGTCCTGTAAATAAATGGCTTGGCCTTGTCGGAAACTTGCGAGAGAGCAACAGGGAAAGCATATTAATCAGCCAAGAGAGTATAAAAGCATACTACAGTAGTGGAATTCCTGGCAAGTCCTCGTAGACTTAGAACTTCAAAGTCCATTTCTGCTTCTTGTTTCGACATTACTCAGTTAACTGGTGCATTTGCTTCTACAGGGATGACTTCTTATACTTTGGTTTCTATGAAATTTGTTCTCCGAAGAAAGGCGAATGCTTCTACATTTCAGCGCCACCTGGGGCAGTTGGTCAGCTTGATGGGGGATTGCTCGGCTATGTTGTTGGAGGTGCTGGGAGTGAAGAAAAGGTGGGAATTACATGCTGACTTGGTTACAAATTTTTCATTATTTTATGAAAAAATTATCTTTTAACAAAAGAAATTCATAGAATTGAGTCATACCCTTGGATCAGTGTTGTGTATGGCCTTTACCCTAACATAAAAGAAGAGCACCAGGCACTGGATCCCAACGCTAGCTTGATTACTGGGGTGCCTCACCTCGCAAGCTCGACAAGATTTTACGATGACAGTGTTGAAATCTTTGGAGAGTTTTTGTTTTTGCGTTTTAAAACTGTTTTTTAAAAAATTAAGTTTTTTATTTTTTTATTTTAAATTAATTTTTTGTTTAATATTGTTGGTTTGGAAGTAAAGTAATTGTTTTTTTAAATATTTTTTATGTTAAAATATATTAACAAAATATTTTTAAAAAAATTATTTTTAAAATTAAATATTAAAACAACCTAAAATATATTAAAAAATTAAATTTTTGCCGATCACTTTAGTTAAAGAAATGAATATTAAGATAAAATCTAAATTTATTTTTAAAATAGTTGTGAACTGTGGCTTGAATTCGTGTGCAATCGAGCCTCCACCTCGTGAATCAGGCCAAGAAAGAAGAAGCAAAATGTGGTTTATGCATCCAGCAATATACACGTGGCTTAAGTTTGGAGTTAATTTCTGGCCTCCACATCAATGCGTTTACGTACCCTTTCATACGCAACATGCATGGATTCTTCTCGCCCATCATTTTCTATCTAAACCATAGACTGACAAGAAGAAGAAGACGATACGCACTAAAATCTTATCTCTTCATTCTTCCCATTTTAATTGAAGCTCATTAATTATTTATTTTTATGTGGAAGTATTGGGAAAAGAAGTTCTTTTAAATAATCGATTAGTTTAGCTCTACAGTGCTTTTATATAATAATATGAATTATTTATCTTATTTAATTAAGAATCAATATGTTATTTGGTTAAGTTATAATTATTTAGAATGTGTAACACTTGTGTGTGTGTGTGTTTTTATGGTAATGGATGCTTTATTGGGTAATTCATTGTCACGTTACAAAAACAAAACAAAATATAAAATTATCATGTCATGGGTCAATTCACGTATCATTGATAAAACGACAAAGATTAAAAGAAAAAAAATCTTTGATGGTGGTGATCCATTCCTCGTACTGTTTTTTTTTTTTTTTCCTGTTCCTTGAACAATTTCCCTTCCCTTCAATCCCTTATAAATAATGGGTTTTCCCTTTTGAAATCTCAAACATCAACAATCTACCATTTTGTTTTGATTTTAGTAGCACAAGAGGAAAAGAATAGGGAGAATTATGGCAAGTAGTGGTGAAGAAGTGAGCAACAAGCAGGTCATATTGAAGGGCTATGTCACTGGATTTCCAAAAGAATCAGACATGTACGTGAAAACAAGTCCCATAAAACTCAAACTATCAGACGATGAAAGTAGCAATAATGCTGTGTTGGTTAAGAATCTCTACTTGTCTTGTGACCCTTACATGCGTGGTCGCATGGCAAACCGTCCAGTTGATGACCCCGACTTCTCTCCCTTCACTCTTGACTCTGTATGTTCCCTCTCTCTCTATATTTGAACTGCAAGAAACACCAATATATATGCTGTTTGGTTTTGTTTATCATTACACAGCAATCCATTTGATTGTTTTTTATATGTGGGACAAGGAAAGTGGAAGATTTTAGTCGGATGTTGATTGTAATTATATGATTTTTTTAACAAAGAAATGGTTAAGAAAGCAATTAAAAAAGCAATCATGCTTTTTAAATATGCTTTGTACTTCAAGACCAATGGGATGTCTATTAGTTAATTGAAAAAGAGGGTTTCTTTTGCTATTAATTTATATATGTTTTGGAATTCAAGACCAAATTAGGGCTGTACATGTTAGTGTATGAAGATGTGGGATAGTTCCAAAATTGCTTTGTGATCTCTCTCTTTTTTTAATTGAACAGCCAATAGTTGGACATGGGGTGTCTGAAATTGTTGATTCTAGGCACCCTGGCTTCAAGAAAGGTGACTTGGTTTGGGGGAGGAAAATGGGGTGGGAAGAGTACAGTTTAATAAAAGAACCTGAGAAACTCTTCAGAATTCACAATACTGATGTACCCCTTTCCTACTATACCGGAATTCTTGGTAAGTTCTTTGCCTTCTTCATGTAAGTTCTGTTCATTATGAGAGGAACAATTGTTTGGTCAATCGGATTGCACAATTGACAGTAAGCAAGTTGCAATGCCTTGGAGTTCTGCAGCAACAAGGCCACTCTTGTTAGTCTTAAAAGAATGCATTCGGGTGTTTCGATTTTTGTTTGCTTTTCTTGTGTTCATGTTGTTTTGCTTGTTTTAATTATTGAGCCAAATCCTGTATATGAATTTTCCTTTACAGGCATGCCTGGCATGACTGCTTATTTTGGTTTCTATCAAGTTTGTTCTCCAAAGAAAGGGGAGCGCGTCTACATTTCAGCAGCATCTGGTGCTGTTGGTCAGCTTGTTGGCCAGTTTGCAAAGTTGATGGGTTGCTATGTTGTTGGAAGTGCTGGAAGTAAAGAAAAGGTGAGGGAGCTTAGAACTTTATTCTACTTGGTGGCGTCTTTCTACTCTATTTTACTTGTACTCGTCCAAGAATCTTGTTCATTAAAATTCATAAAAATCATAGAGCACCATCATCCTTTTCTGGGTAGTAACTTATCTGCTTTACAATTTTTATGTCACCCTTTTCCTGTCTTTCTTCTTCAATTGGAGGGAGTTGATTGAATGATTTCATATTGAACATGTTAGCTGATTAGACTTTGATCTACTTTTATGGTATACAAGGTTGAACTACTGAAAAGCAAGTTTGGGTTTGATGATGCTTTCGATTATAAAGAGGAGCATGACTTGGTTGCGGCTTTGAAAAGGTCAGTCTTTGTAATTGCGTTGGAGAATTTTACAGCAAGCTTCAATTAATGTTAAGGTCAGTCTTTGGACATTTAGCTGTGCATGGGAGTCAAAGTTGGCGGCCAGTAGTGGTTTCAAGGGTTTCTGTTCACACAGCACATTAAATGTGGTAATTAAATTTAGAATGTCTTATCTCCGGAGTCAAGGTATGCAGCCATTGATTTTGCTTGATATGCATTCTCATTATAGATTTTTATTTGTGACACTTCATTCCATGGAAAACCCTTTTAATAAATTTTGCATGCCCTATTGGTGTAGATACCGCTTGATCTGTGGTTACTCTTTATGGATTAGCAAGTGTTGAAACTTTAAGTGTACTTCACAGAATGCATTTTTCATGCTTAACCACCGTTCAATCAATGATTTCACTACGCTTTAATATTCACTCAGTAATTTGCATCACTTGCCAGATATAAAATTTAGCAGAAACTGAAAATTGTCACCCAGTAAGCAATCCTATAGGTAGTGGGAGATTCAAAATGCCCCTTATTGTTTGAGTTTTGTTTGTGTCATCAGGTACTTCCCTGAAGGCATTGACATTTACTTTGAGAATGTTGGGGGTAAAATGCTTGACGCAGTCCTTCTTAACATGAGATTCCATGGTCGCATTGCTGCTTGTGGAATGATCTCTCAATACAATCTTCAGCAACCTGAAGGCGTTCAAAACCTAACGACTGTTGTTTTTAAGCGAATCCGTTTGGAAGGGTTTATAATATTCGATTACTTTGACCAGTATCCCAAGTTCCTGGATTTTGTGCTGCCTTATATCAGGGAAGGGAAGATTGTTTATGTGGAAGACATAACTGAAGGTCTCGAGCATGGTCCTTCTGCTTTGGTTGGCCTTTTCAGTGGCCGAAACGTTGGAAAGCAAGTAGTGAAGGTTACAAATGAGTGTTCACCCCCCTTTAGTATGTTCTGTCAATCTGAATACAATATCAGAGATGTCTGAATAAGGCTATGGATTTTTGTCATCCATGATGCTGCAGTTATATGGTTGTAAACTTATTTTGTCATCTGTAATAAAATTCAAGTTGTGGGATGCTGTCTATTCCAGTCTGTATAGTTCTCTTACATTCATATAGTCTCCATGCCTTAAATTTCTTGGGAGCTCAGCTCTCAACCGAGCAAAAACCATAAAACGTGTGCTGTTGTGACTAGTTCACAATCCTATTTTTATTTGACACGTTACATGGCTTGCATATTCCATTTTAAGTGCTAGCAAAAAATCTATACCAAGAGAAGTAATGATACGAAGGCCGACATCTGTCTTTCTTGGACTAGTCACGCACTAGCTACTAGATCCATAGTCAAGCAAAACAAACGCACATGTGTTGATTCTCAACTTCAAATCTCACCAAGAAGCTATGTGTGGCTTAAATTCACTAGGAATCAAGAAAAAATGGAAACCATAGTGCCATAACAATGTGGTTACCGCCCAAATCTGACCAGAAGTAAATTGCTAGATACTATAAATAGGACTTACAATCGGCACCTACATCATCAGCAACGTAAACTCTGATAATACATAACTAGGTCTTGGGTCATCTTGCAAGTTGGAAGCTAAAACATCAGCAATATGGCAAGAGATATCAGAGGTGAAGTGAGCAATAAGCAAGTGGTACTCAAGAACTATGTCTGTGGTTTTCCAAAAGAATCAGACTTCGAAGTGACAACCACAACAATAAAACTCAAAGTACCAGAAGATAGTAAAAATGCGGTTTTGCTAAAGACCCTATACCTTTCTTGTGATCCTTACCTCCGTGGTCGCATGAGATACACGCCGGTTACCGATCCTGACTTCTGTTCCTACACCCTTGGCTCAGTATGCGAACTCACTCTTCTTCTTTTTTTTCTCCAATAAAAGCACCACAACGAATCAAATTGTGGACTGGCTCGATTATATTGATTATGCGTGCTTTTCTAATTTCTTCTGTTTTGTTGAAATTGAACAGCCAATATCTGGATTTGCAGTAGCTACAGTGGTTGATTCGGGGCACCCTGACTTCAAGAAAGGTGATCTTGTTTGGGGGAGGAGAGTAGGCTGGGAAAAGTATAGTCTAGTGACCACACCTGAATGCCTCACC